GACCAGGACTGTGTGGGTTGGCTTAAACCAAGGAGGACAGAATCCTGTAGGTTCCATGTATGTTCCAAAATGGTGCTTCATTAACGGATGGAGACAGGGGCCATTTCTCTTTCTGAAGGCAGGTTTGAGAAGTGGGAATGTATGATTGCCTGGAGGGAAAGGTGACCAATAGGCAGCCAGAAAAAAATTAAAAATTAGAAAAAGAAGGTTCCTCAGGTGCTTGTGTTACCAAGGAGTTCACCAAAGTTGTCACGTGTTATTGGGGCATATTGGGGAAGCCAGGGTCTTCCTCTTAGAGTTCATGATTTCACTAATCAAAGAATATAAGAATAACAAAGGAGGCGTGAGGACAATTTTATTAGAATTTAAAAGATTTTTTTTAAAATTTTTGGTGCTTTTTTGATTTTTGTTTGCTTTGTTTGTTTTTCGAGACAGGGTTTCTCTGTGTAGCCCTGACTGTCCTGAAACTCATTCTGTAAACAAGGCTAGCCTCAAACTCACCTCACAGAGATCCCCCTGACTCTGTCTCCTGAGTGCTAGAATTAAAGGTGTGTGCCACCACTGCCTGGCCAAAAGAAAAAATTCAAAGCAGGCAAATTGTGAATCTAGGCAGCTTGCCCGGAGGAAGGAGATGAAGAGGTGGAACCCTAAGGCCACGTTCTTAGAGTCGGGCTTGAAGGTCAGCCATGTGATGGACAACTGTCCACACGGCAGAGAGGGGAGCTTTACAGAAAAAAAAAAAATGAGTCCAATGTGTGGGTCAAGAATACTTAGAACAGGAGTAGAAAGATGTGAAGAACGGCCCCGCTTTTCTGAGTGACCCAGAGAACTGGGCAGTCATGAGCTGAACGGCTGTGGCTCTGTAAGCGGCTGCACTGGGGGTGGGAATTCTGGGAAGGAAAACAACTTGATCTCATTAAGGAATAATTTTTCCTCCCGTATCTTTAACATGCGAAAAGTAAACTTGTCCTCCCGAGGGGTGGTCTTTGGCCAGGTGATTGACTGGCCCAACTGGATCAATCCTTTTTTTAAAGAGCCGTTGGAGCAGCTTTGAATGTGGAGGCTCCGCCCAGGCCAGAATGGCCTCCACACAGCCCCAATCAAGGCTGCTGTAACAGCCGTAGGCCCTGAAAGGGTGGCCCCAGGGTTGAGAGTTAGCTTGATGCCTGCTACATGGTAGAAACTCAGTTGATAGGCAAAAGCTAAAATATCTAAGGCCAAAAGGCCACAGGGTGTCTAGAGGGGGCTCTCACCTGGAGTACAGGTGGCTGCTTCCTCTGTGTCCCCACAGGACAAAAGGGAGGGGAGGAGGGAAGACAGAAGGGGGAGGAGACTATTGTGAGCCTTTGACCATGGGCACTAAATCAAAAATAATGGCTGAGTTCTGGGGCCCTACTCTCCTGCAAAAGGCCCCAGGTCTTTAACATCATTGCCTTGAAGATTGTTTAACACACCTTTTAGGGCAGCATATTTAAACCAAAGCAAGCTTCAGTGTATGGGTCACAAAGGGTTAAGGGTGTGGGTGTGTCCAACCTGTGGCTAAAGATAGCTATGAATACAGCCCAACACCTGTATTCACGGTACACATTAAAGAGATTTCTGTGTTTTCTTTCCCCCTTAGGTATGAACTTTGTAGGTAACACCTTCAAGTCACAATGTCAAAAGGTTGGGCATGCCTGGTAAAGCCTTAAAAATAATTTCAATAAACTAGAAGGAGAGATAAGAATAAGACTTCCTCACCCTTCCTGCCTCCTGCTGCTGTCACCACAAACACTTGAGCTCAAGCGACAACAACAGCGGTTCTCAGCCTCCCTGTCCTTTAACACAGTTCCTCAAGTTGTGGTGACCCCAACCATAAAATCATTTTCATTGTTACTTCGTAATTCTAATTTTGCTACTGTTATTAATCATACTGTAAAATCTGTGTTTTCTGATGATCTTAGGTGACCCCTATGAAAGGATCGTTGGCCTCCCCCAAAGGGGTCACGGCCCACAGGTTGAGAATTACTGCTCTGGAGAGGGTGGTGTAGAGCAGAATTTGTGGTTTGACCTCGGAGATGACTGGAGGCTGAGCAGAGATGAGGTAAGAGCAACCGCCATATGTGCAGGGCTGATGCCAGGCTGTGGTCCAGGAGTGGGGGCAATCTGCCAAGGCTGGAGTTTGTGAACCACCACTACCCTGCCTCGAGGAAGCACTTCTAAGCTCTGAGTTCGAGACACATGTCCACAGTCCCTGAACCCCAGTGTGCCAGCCTTGGAGTGGGTGACTGCTTGAATCTAACACTTTTCAAAACCCCTCCAGAGAGCCTCATCCTTTTTTCAAAACACCAGTTTTCAGGGGTAAAAGGGAACTTTGTACAAAGAGGTAGGGTACTGATGAAAGTTGGAAATCCCAGCCTTGCTGTCTGGTGGGTCAAGAAGGGGGGGCGAGCCCCTCCCTCACTGTAATCCCTGTGATTACATAACAGCCACACAATGTCGTGATTAGATACCAGGGCCCGAGAACCAGGCTACCACGTTCAGTGTGAGGATTTGATCGTTCCTAATAGTGCGGTCTCAGTTGTTTCTCAAAATCTCTGCACTTCTGCTTCCTGGAGAGCTAGAGATGAAAACAATAATTCCTATTTTGAAAGCTGAGAGTAAAAGAATTAGATAAATTAACTCAAGTAACATGTTTGTACTAATTCATGGTATACATAGGTAATGACTACACAGAAACACGAGAATACACAGAGACACACGTTTAGTCATAACACTTCACGACAGCACTCATGGGTAATGTCTCGCAGCCAATCAAGAGAGACACAGCATGGAAAGGGCGGGGCTGGGAGGGAAGCGGCTGAACCACAATGGGGCACATTTAGAAACCGCAACCCCCCACCATGGTAAAGCGGGGGTCACATTGCAAAACAAACAAAACAAACATAGCAACAAACCGTGTAAACCTTTTCAGGCAACACGCGGTATGTAGTCAAATTAAGATATCCCTACTTCTGCAAGGGAAATGGAGGCATGATGTCGCAAATAAGCCCGAGGTTGTGCGGCTAGAAAGTGGAAATGCTGAGATTTGAATCAAAGCCATCTGCCCCCAGAGACATCTGTGTCTACACTTCATACAAACTGATGAAAATGTAATTAGTCTTCATCCAACCCCCCAGCCCCGCCATGGGCTGTTACAGGATACGACGACATTTGCCAAGTAAAGGGATAAATCTGTCTTCAGCCTAATTTTCAGTGAACCTTTTCCTCTATCCTCCTTTAATAGACTAGCAGCCTTTAAACTGGAGATTACGTAAAACACAAAATCCCTTTGAGCTGACATCTACCTAGAAGTAACAGACTTCGGAGTTCATGTGTTGTAGAGTCTAGTAGGCTTAAGGTACACTATCCAAACGTGGTACCATACCAGGAAAACAAAAAGTTACCAAAGCGCCAGCGGAGGCCGCTGATCACGTGGCATTCATTCTCACAGCTGTAGAAAAAAAGGGGGTGGAGATGGTGAGAATGCCCGCCCTGCAGAGGCGGTTGGAGCTCAAGGTCAAGCTTAGCCCCGGCCACAGCTCTTAGGAAAATGCGAAGTACTGTGTGGGGTTGAGAATGTCACGGACTGGCTGAAGAGCAAGCACTCCACTGGCTCACGCTTGTGAGCACATACTTGAAGGGTCTGGTGACTTATGTCACCCCTACTGCTGACCCTAGGTACTTTACCCCTCACCCTGTCTTTAGCAGACAGAAGGTGCCACGGGCACACATGCCTTTACCCACACAGCTAAACACGGGTGACGTTCAAAGCGCACGGCATCAGCCACCAGTTTGAAAAGGGCTGGGATTCTTGTTAAAATGCAGGTGTCCTGGCTGTCCCCGCTTTTACTGAACAGGGTAGGGGGCTCTACATTTCTTTCTCATCCTCAAGAAGGCCCTGGGCACGTGTGGAGCAGAAGAGCCGCAGGGAGGAACCTGCCTGGACCCCTCTGCTCCGGGTTTGTCTGAGCTTTGTCCCCCAACCCCTTGCACATCTTAGAACACGCTCCCTTTCGCGTGGACTATCGGGTAGCAGCTGCTACGGGCTTTCTAACCCACGCTAGCTGTGGGTGGCTGGACCTCTCCATCCCGGGGGCGCTGCACAGAAGCCACCTTGCTCTCTCTCTCTATCCCTTCCAATGCTCAGCCGAGGGCCGCAGCCTTGCGGGTGGGGCCATCTGGCCACACAGCCGGCCGTGACTCAGCCTTGGCGGGCGGCGCACAGCCTCGGGCCGTGCGGGGACAAAGCTACGCCACCGCGCCCCACCTGCGGGCCGCCCAGCTCCCCCCCTCT